TGCGGGATGCCTTTTCTCCTGTCGATGTGGGTGCATTCGTCGTCGTATTCGTATTGGTGCGATGCGTGCTGTTCCACTCATACGTCGTGTCCGACGCTTATCAGTCCGTTGCTTGAAATTAAATGTCGAAGAAAACGATTTGGCAAGCATTTTTTCTTACCACTGCTTTTCTCCTCCATTCCATTCATTGGTGAAATGATGAGCGGTCAACCGAGCGGTGAGCTCGCTCATGCGCATTGTGTCGTGTGTTCGATTTGCCCTCTGTCGTTACGTCCGTGTTTGGGATTACATGTTTGAATTTTGATTTTTTTTAAATGTAACCCCCAGTATAGAAATTAAAGACGTAGGCCTACGTCAAAAAGTAAAGCCTTGACAATTTTAAAAAGGATTGAATAATTTTGATTCGAAAGATTGAACTCACTTCAAAAAAGTTCTGACTCAGTTTTGAATCTGCTCGTTAAAGTGTCACCTCAATTGAGAATTTCCCGAATCGTTTCTGATTTGGTCACATCAATGTTTAAACCAATTTTGAAAAGGTTGGATTTAGCTCGGAAATTGCTGAATCACTGTAGAAAATAATTGAATGATTAAGTAGCATTGTAGCAGGTTTGTAAGTTATGAAATTTAGATCGAATGAGAAAATCGGGCGACTATGGTGGGCTGGGCACATCGTAACAATGTCGGATAACAACCAATGAAAATGGTTTTTTTTTTGCTTATTAATTTATTTGATAAGGCTCAACCGAATTAACTTTACAGAGCCGAGGATTCTTGGTCACTATACAATACATCTTAAAACTATAGTCAAAAGGTACAACACAATAAACACTTTATCTTCCGCTATCCAAAAAGCCTCCTCCATCAGAACTGGAGCCGCTTCCAGTAGGTTCATTGTATGGCAAATTGTTGTACGCCAACGAGGGTCAAAGTGCGTCCATTGCAGCAATGGACGCAAAACGTGGTCAGCACTCACACACTCATCACGAAACGGTTGCTTTCCAAAGTCGACGACGCATCGACCGAAAGAACTGCTGATGAAGAACAATGAGGAGGACCACACAATGGTTGCTGCCGAGAAAACAGACGATCGCGTAGCACACATCGAGAGTGGCCTGCTTTTGTCGACAGCCGAGTGAACACTAATGAAAATGGTTCTTGGTAGCGACCTGACTGGAATAAGACGAAGATGTGCGCAGCGAACAAGGGGGATCGATCAGATTGAAGGCCAGGGTGGCCAGTAAACGGGAATTTGAAAAGTAACCCGGGAATTCGGCGAGAGAACCGGGAAAAATAAATTAAGCATACCATAGGAACAAATTGTTACACCAGAATTTTAGAATAAACCATTAAAACAGAGTGATGCTATACCAAATGAATGTCTTGCTCTATTTGCTGCATAATTTTCTTGAGTTTCCCGTCTTATTGTGTTTAGAATTTAATCAATCAGCAATTTTACAAATTTATTTTTGTCGTTTCAATTTTAGATGTAAAGTGCATGGTCCTTAAAAGAATATATTGAGGATGCTGGACTTTGAAAACAAATATTTGTAAAAACCGAAGCTGAATTATTCTTTTCCGGGGTTTTAATTTTTCGTTGTTCAAAATTCTCATGATATGAATTCCAGAATTAACTTGAAATTCGGCTCTGAATTATCTTGAAACTGTTCTGAAATAAACCAGAAAACACTCCGCGTAATAATTACCATTGAATTATTTTTGGAATTTCCTTGCAACCCCTTCTAAGAATTTAATTGGAATCCTTCTTAGAATTCCCTTGAGCCTATCCGGAGACTTTGATTCCTTTGATAATCTTTTCAAAAATTTATTTTAACTCTATTCAATACAGCAGAAATCTTTCGAAATTTTATTTAGAAACCCTCTGAAGTATTTGAAAGAATTTCTTCTACCAGCAAATTTTTTGCAATCAATTTTGTTGGAGTTCTGTGATGAATCTTTCTCCAGTAAAATCCTTTCAGCAAGTTCTTAAAAATGCGTTCAGTTTCGTTTCTTTTTTTTTTTTTTGTTGAATATTAATAATCGGGAATTTTTAAAGATTTGAACCGGGAAAACCGGGAAAAACCAGGAATTTCAAAATGAAAATTCACTGGCCACCCTGGAAAGCGGCCAAACAAGATTAGGAATGATGTTCGATGAAATCCGTTTTTAACAACTGAAACCGGTTGATCCGATTTCAAGGATCTGGCATGTCGTACCGGTCTAATACCAATTTATGTAAACATTCTGGAAAATAACAAGGTGATATTCTACAACATAATAAAATCTAGGAAATCGAGTATCCATACCCAAATGAATTAGTGATATTCAAGAACAAAGGAACGATCCTGTTCTTTTGATCATCTGATCCGTTTCCTAGACGTGTGTATCAATGGGAAGCCAAATCGGAACAGCTCTAGTGATGTTCCGTGATGTTGTCATACGACGCTTTTCGAACGCGAATATTGTTCTACGCGACTTGGTTACAAGTAAAAGTTTGTAAACAAAAACTTGAGATTAGTGCTGGCCTTATCTGTAGGGACTTTTTGTAGTTTTATAAAGAAATTTTGAGACATAATTTCATTCTTATTTATACATCTGTGAGGGAAAATGATTCTAAATTAAATGCGTTAGAATATTAAAATAAAATATTAACTACCTACTTCTTTTGTGAATAACTCAAATTTGTACCTCTTATGCATGATGAACCAGATGCGAACAGAAGCCACCATTGTTTTTCAGTGAATATAAATTACATTCAATGAAAAATTATAACAAGGTTTGTCCGCTCTGGTTCGTCGTGCACAAGAGATACGGACTTGAGTTAGTGACAAAAGTTTTGGCTAATATCAAAACCTACAAAAGTTTCATATATCATTTTACGGAATTCTGTGGATGGAAAAAGTTAGAGGCAAATGAATGTAAATGATTTCCCATGCCTACACTATACTACAAACATGTTCTAATCTCGTCGAGCTGGGGTGATTTGTATATGACACTCTTATCACGATATTTCCGGGTTAATCATATCGTTATGGAACTGATTTATACTAATTTGTTCATGCAATAACCTACAATACAATGAACGAGTTCCAGATCCTCCAACTTTCATTTGTGCTTCATGTTACGTGGGAAAATATTAAAAATAGTACAAATTATCATAACAACAGATTTCCCACCCGACATTCGTCGTCAAACACACCGGCTAAGCGAAACTTTCCAACCCGACCCAACGTTGATCTGGTTGATAGTGCGGTAAATACGCGCGGGTTCATCATCTACCATTATGCCAACTAGGTATAGGTATGTAAACAACGGGTGTAAAAAAAAGCAACACCTACCTAGAAGCACGCAGCAGACCGGCGGCCGCGTGCGAGGAAAGACCAAGAGTAATAGGTTTTTATTACATCATAACAGATTGGAGCAATCACACAAGTCAACGAGCAAGAGTCTCCTTTTATGTAGGGTAGATGTGCCCAATGTCATCATTTGAGTCCTTAATAAACAGCATGTCCTTTATACTTTCTAAACCGGCAAGTGTTTGCAGTCTGTTTTAGATAGGTCCAAGTTAGGAGCACTTGTGCCATAATTAGGAACCGTTCCCCCATGATTAGAACGTATTCGAAACCTGCCTGCGAAATTGATAACGTGGCATATGGAGGATGTATTCTGTTAGATCTATATGATAGCTGTTTACTGTATTTATAGTATCGTAAAGGGGCTATACTTTTGATGGAGGCAAAAGTAAAGTTCAGCTGTTGCAAATGTTTGTCTTTTGTGGTTTTGGAAATTTTAATCAACACTAAATGTTGCTAAGCCGCGCAAAAGCTTGCACAATCCTAAAAAACATAGGCCCCTCGAAAAAATGTGTACACGTGTATCAGTACTAGAAACATATCCGTGCAATTAGTTAAAAAAAAAACTCCTGAGATTGTGAGAACGGACAACAATTCACCCCCCTACTGCTGAGTTGGAGCTAGATATACTCACTTTGATGGCCAAGGTGGTTCGGCAGCCTACCAGCTGAGGTAGATTGTATGCAAAGCAGCACAAATTTCGTTGTGTCAGGTGGTGGCAGTTTTGTGAACCGCAAAACCATCACATAGAAGACGTACGCAGATTTGAAGCACTTGGTGAGACTGGTGGCTGCCGGGTGAGAATGATGAATAGCTTACATTTGCAACTGCTTACTTGGCACTATTTTGTCATTGACCTTCGGCTGTGCTGCTAGATATACGGACCGAGTCGATCCGCTGGAAATCTGGAGTCATCGTGTGACGCGCATGACTTTGAAGTAGCGAGGAACTACATTGAAGGTTGATGATGATCGCTCTGAAGTTTATGATCGTTAAACAAAAATCAGAAATAGCTGCTGTTAATTAGCTAACTCTCAAATGCAAGCATACCGGTGCTACCCAAACAATCTAATATTACTCGTATGACAAACAAAAGCAGTGTATCAATCCAATTGTAAACAGTATGATAACACCCGCATGTTAGTTCCAAGCTAAGGAAAGCATGCACTATATGAAATCGACGTTATCATTAGTTAAACGTTCGTTCTTTCTCTATGCCTGTTTCACACAGACTACAGTTTCCACAATCGGACATTTAGCCTTTGTGAACTACGACATAGGTATAGAGGTATTTTCCGGACAGGAGGGACAAAAGCTTCGTCGTTCAAGTGATTCCAATGTTCTTTCCTCGCTATTATTACCCTGATAATAATAGTAGCAATGGGGAGGTATACGTTTCGCTATTGCACCTCGTTCAACGGGATTTCAAAATAAATATTTCCGTCAACGCAATGCCCACCTTTTCCATTTTCCCTGCAGTAGTCCTAATACCTTTAACCCTTACTCGAATAGTAAAAACAAACGAAGAAATTTCTGTATCAGACAGGACAATCAGAGCACCCGACATCGACTATGTATACATTGTAATTAATTATTAAACTCTGGTAAAGTTTCTCAAACGATGTTTTTCTTTCTTTTCTCTCGTTGCAGTCGAGTAACGTTACCCCTGACGGTGGAAGAGGTAAGTTTTTGCGCGCCAAATGCGACCGCACGACTCTCTAGTTACAGAGCATGAACGTCGTATAGTGGGACACGGGTATACGACGTTCTACAAATATGCTTTCGGGCTGTCCATGAACTACGTAGATACTATTTGATGATATTAACGGCCTTCTCACACAGATAAAATTTCAAAAAGTGCACTGAAATTGATACGAAGAGTCAACTCCTAACCTCTAAAGTGACTACGTGATTGCTCTTTTCCTTATATGAGAACTACACAGCAACGTTGTTCATCGTTGCATTCACACTGCCGTAATAAACTGCATTTTAGTGTTAAGTTTCGTTGGATAGGATTGAGTTTTGCTTTGCAGCTAGTACAATTAATCAGCACAGTCAAGTTTTCATTTAAAACATAAAATTGAGTGCTTCGGGTGAACCTCCATGGTAAGCCCAACTGATGTGCAGAGCAAGCCGTATGACAAAAAGAACCTTAAGGTTCTACAAACGGTATTACTTCTTCTTTTTGAAATATTCTTCGATCAACATTTTCTAAATGTATTGGTAAAATTCATTGGAAGTGCATGTCACCCTCACCATGCCAAAACGGTCCATGTTTCATAAATACAGGGCTGTACCAACAGGCGCGGATTTCGCGATTTTCGCGGATTTGAACTTTCAGTCGCAAAAATCCCTTCGCGATTTTCAAGACATCATTTAATGTTTCCGCGATTTTCGCGACTGAAAGTTCAAATCCGTGAAATCCGCGCCTGTTGTGCTGTCACAAAAATTGTGGAATTAATTGTAACCTTTCCGTCCCGTATTATTTTGCTGTCATCAATTTTGTAGTTCATTTGTCTCTCAATTTTTACCGGTTCAAACCAAACACCCTGCAAATAATCGAGAAATTATCTCAATTCCATAAGTCACACCGGATTTACACGGAAATTCCCTGAGGTCTGTCCAATGTGAGACATTTTCATGTTTTTTTTATTTCCAATATGAACATAGCATTTTTCGTTGCCAAATCATAAACGAATCGTATATATGTGAGTAATTGTCATGTATATTCTAGGTTCTCCAAATCGTCCTGGAGTTCAGTTGGTTTGTTCTACTATATTAACCAAGACTGCAATAATGTCTGCACTATCGAAATATGTCCAAACAGATTCAAAGTGTGTATGTGGATCATGCATGATCTATTTCCGAGTAGTCCAGATGTTCAAGGTTCTTCAAATCGTCCTGCAGTTCTGATAAGTTGAAAATTTGGAAAACCTATAAAACGCACAAGATCCACAAAGTCACATATATACGATTCGGTTATGATTTGACCACAGCTTTCTAATATGCTAGGTTCATATTAGAAATAAAAAAAAATGTTATGAAAATGTCTCACCATTGGACAGACCCCGAGGAATATCCGTGTAAATACAGAACCGCGACTTGTTGGTCACGTCTGATAAATGTGACTGATGAAAATCTGGTAATTTCTCGATTATGTGCAGGGTGTTTGGTTTGAATCTGTAGAAAATTGAGAAAACTAGAGCCAAATTAACTAGAACATTTAGGACAGCAAAATATGTCAGAGAAGCAAAAGGTTAATTTTCAAGAAAATTTGCATTTCAAATTAAAATGCGAATGGAAGTAAATTAGACGCGTTTAAGTTTTTCCGGAAACGTAGAACACCCGAGCATTTTGAAGCGTACTCGGCTCTTGAACGCGAACTCAAGAGCCTCATCAAAGCCAAGAAACGCGGATACTGGCGGCAATTCGTGGACGGATTATCGCGCGAACCGTCGATGAATACGCTTTGGAACGCGGCGCGAAGGATGCGTAACTGGTCTTCGAACAACGAGAGCGAGGAGTACTCAGATCGTTGGATTCTCAAGTTCACGCGAAAAGTATGTCCTGATTCCGTGCCGGCACGGATGATTCCTCGCGAAACGACGAATTCGGTAGACGAGATCAGCCAGCCTTTTTCAATGCTGGAGCTCTCACTCGCACTCCTTTCGTGTGGCAATTCGGCTCCGGGGGCTGATAGAATCAAGTTCAACTTGTTGAAGAACCTCCCAGACGTCGCTAAGAGGCGCATGTTGAACTTGTTTTGTCAGTTCCTAGAGCTCAATATTGTTCCGGATGATTGGAGGCAAGTGAGAGTTATAGCCATTAAAAAGCCTGGAAAACCCGCGTCAAATCATAACTCGTATCGTCCCATCGCGATGTTATCGTGCATTCGAAAATTGTTGGAGAAAATTATCCTTTTTCGCTTGGACAAATGGGTTGAGACGAACCACCTACTCTCAGATACTCAATTTGGTTTCCGTAGGGGCAAGGGAACGAACGACTGTCTCGCGTTGCTTTCCACAGAAATTCAGTTGGCTTTTGCTAAAAAAGAGCAAATGACTTCTGTGTTCTTGGATATTAAGGGGGCTTTTGATTCAGTATCGGTTGAAGTCCTTTCAGACAAACCCCATTAATTAATAACTTTTTGTACAATTTGCTGTCAGAGAAACATATGAGCTTTTCTCATGGAAACTCTACAGCTTCTCGATTTAGTTACATGGGTCTCCCCCAGGGCTCATGTTTAAGCCCCCTTTTGTATAATTTCTACGTCAGAGAAATTGACAATTGTACAAGTGACAACTGCACGCTGAGACAACTTGCAAATGACGAAGTAGTGTCTATGACAGGGCCCAGAGAGGCCGACCTGCAAGGACCCTTACAGGATACCTTAGACAATTTGTCTACTTGGGCTATTCAGCTAGGTATCGAATTATCCACGGAGAAAACTGAGTTGATCGTTTTTTTCTAGGAAGCATAGCCCAGCACAACCGAAGCTTCAACTTTTGGGAAGGCCGATCACTCATTCCATGTCTTTCAAATATCTTGGGGTCTGGTTCGGATTCCAAATGCACCTGGAGATCCCACATTGAGTATCTGAGACGAAAATGCCAACAAAGGATCAATTTTCTTCGAACAATTACCGGAACGTGGTGGGGAGCAAGATCTTCTAACGTTGTACAGGACAACGATACGGTAGTTTTTGCTTCCAGTCGGCGGCTAAAACGCACATCATTAAACTGGAACGGATCCAGTATCGCTGTCTTCGTATCGCGTTAGGATGCATGCACTCGACTCATACGATGAGTCTCGAAGTGTTAGCGGGCATGTTGCCAATCTCTGATCGGTTTTCGGAATTATCCCTCAGGCTCCTCACCCGTTGTGAAATTATGAACCCACTGGTGATTGCAAACTTTGAGAAGCTTCTTGAGCTAAACCCTCAAACTCGTTTTATGACATTGTACTACGTGTACATAACACAGGATGTCAGCCCTTCACAGAATAATCCTCATCATGTATGCTTCTCCGACTTCGGCAATTCAGTTAGTTTTGATTTATCTATGACGCGGGAGATTCGTGGGATCCCAGAACATCATCGTTCCATGGTTGTTCCGTCAATTTACGCTGCAATTACCCAGTTGTGGTGTTTTATAAGTAAATTTAATTTTTTCGAAGGGACTTACCAGCGTTTGTAAGCTGCATTTGATCAACGGTTTGGCGTAACTGGTAGCTCGCCCACGCATACTAACTCCACTATCATGTAGGGGGAACCCATCTGATTGTAGTGTCAGCATGCGTGGGCGAGCTGCCAGTTACGCCAAATCGACGATCAAATGCATTGTTTACAAAAGCTGATACGTCCCTTCGAAAAAGTAATCGATAAGTGGTTCAATAATATGTATATCTAAAAAAAAAGACTAAAATATATACGTACCCTAATTAACAAAGCACAAGCAATAAAAAACCTCAAATTGGCCACTAATTACTACAGGGGTGCACCAATAAACAAAAAACAAGTTGCAATAGAAATGAAGAAAAAGACAATAAACAAATAAAAAGCTTCTTTTAATAATTTGAATGTGAGCGGTGAAAATGGCAAAAAGGGCAATAGTAAATAGAATACGCTCAATTAAATAAGGATGAATGTCCACTAAATTAGGAAATTTGAGCACTAAATAACTCACTTTCGTCACCTGCAGTTGAACATATTTTCCCATAAAAGTGGCAAAATGAGCAATGTCATATTGAATAACCGCAATAAATAAATCTAAAATGTCCCACACAAAGCGCACAGTTATCACTGTTTAAATCCAATTATGCTGTAAAATCGTGATTATTTTCCAAAAGAAAAAAAATGAAAATATCTTTTGAAAACTGCAAATGTTCCAGGAACCAGGAGATAAATGTATGCTTGAACATGAGGATGAGCCATCGTAAAATATGAATCGTTCTTAAAGAAAAGAAAATAATTCATGCTGGAAAGTAAAAATGAGCAATTAAAAACGAACACTGCGCAATATAAAATAAAACAAAATTCCAATGATATTCAGGAAATATTCCTTTAAATTGAGAGATTATGAGCCAATAACCCAGATCAATTTCCATATGGTATTTTCAAGACAGTGATAAGTAGTGATACTGTGTCTTGGCTAACAAAGTCAATGTCGATAAAGAAGATTAACGAATGTGGGTCTCATTGAAAAAGGTACCATTAAACAAAATCAAAAGAGCACTAAAAACAGCTGTTTGAGCAATATATACGTCACAAAAGAGCACTAGAAAATGCCATTTGAGCAATATAAAGGTAAAAAAAGACACAAAAGCACAGTGAATGTCTCAGGGAAAATTTCAAAAACGCTCAACAAAAAATAAGAAACGAGCAAGAAACGTATAAAATTAGCACCCTGAAAAATAAATTAAGCATTTTATAAAAAAAAATCAGATTGACCGCCCACGGTTGCTGCTCTGTTATTACCAGATCAGCTGCAATTACACAGAGAACCAACAGATGATGTTTGGGACTAACATTCATCCTCAATGTGTAAGAACTGGAGATCTAATATTTAGCAATACCAGCGCCGGCCGTGTCCGAATGCAGGTCAACTAGGGAATGGGAAGGAATGTGTTGACGTGGTACTCGCTGTGAAGGAAACCGAGAAATCCTCTGCGCTTCCACGAGAA